CATCAAATACAAACCATAATGTAACAAATTCTCTAAATTGCATTGAATCACTTAAAAAAAAAATCTCTTGTAAACTCATGTTATTAAAATATGTCGGCTGTTATGGAATCGACTTTACGAATGAATTTTGGTAAGTCAGCAGTGGCTCCACATGTTTCCCTCAGTAATATCTGCTTGTTTTGTTTGTTCATTTTTGGATGTCCCAAAATCAAATGGTAATAAAAGGTCTTGCCGGCAGGAAACACGTAAATACTGGACTTATTTATTGGATTGTTCATCCTGATAAAAGAGGTTAGTGTACGTAAATGTGCATGTGTGGAACAGCTGACTTTTAAGATGAAATTAAATAACCACTTTCAGTCGTCTCTTTTTTCTTTTCCTTTTTTCTTTGAATCCATTCGTTTCTCCTTTCAGCCACTTCCTTTTTCCTACTTCATTTTCCTCCTTTGACTCCTCTTTTCTTCTTCTTCTACTTCTCTATCCTTCTTCTTCTTCTTCCTCTTCTATTTCTCTTTTCTTCTTCTTCTTTTTTGTCATCTTCTATTTCTCTTTTCTTCTACTACTCTTTTCTTCCTCTTTTTCTACTTCTTCTCTTTTCTTCTTCTCTTTCTACTTCTCTTTTACTTCTCTTTCTTCTTCTATTTCTCTTTCCTTCTTTTTCTACTTCTCTTTTCTTCTTCTTCTACTTCTCTATCCTTCTTCTTCTTCTTCCTCTTCTATTTCTCTTTTCTTCTTCTTCTTTTTTGTCATCTTCTATTTCTCTTTTCTTCTACTCTTTTTCTTCCTCTTTTTTTTCTACTTCTTCTCTTTTCTTCTTCTCTTTCTACTTCTCTTTTACTTCTCTTTCTTCTTCTATTTCTCTTTCCTTCTTTTTCTACTTCTCTTTTCTTCTTCTTCTACTTCTCTATCCTTCTTCTTCTTCTTCCTCTTCTATTTCTCTTTTCTTCTTCTTCTTTTTTGTCATCTTCTATTTCTCTTTTCTTCTACTACTCTTTTCTTCCTCTTTTTCTACTTCTTCTCTTTTCTTCTTCTCTTTCTACTTCTCTTTTACTTCTCTTTCTTCTTCTATTTCTCTTTCCTTCTTTTTCTACTTCTCTTTTCTTCTTCTTTTACTTCTCTTTTCTTCTTCTCTTTTTTCCTTCTTCTTCTTCTCTTTTCTTCTTCTCTTTCTACTTCTCTTTTACTTCTCTTTCTTCTATTTCTCTTTCCTTCTTCTTCTACTTCTCTTTACTTCTCCTTTTACTTCTCTTTTCTTCCCTTTTTCCTTCTTCTTCTTCTTTTTCTTCTTCTCTTTTCTTCTTCTCTTTCTACTTCTCTTTTACTTCTCTTTTCTTCTTCTTCTACTCTTTTCTTCTTTTTCTTCTTCTACTTCTCTCACTCCCTTCCTATTTTTCTAATTACTTCCTTTACTGTCGTTATCTTCTTTTTCTTCTAGTCATCTTCTTCAATCATGCTCTCACTGTCTCTCTCTATCTCTTCTCTTTCTTTCTCATGTAATCCCTTTCTCCTTCTTTTATTCTCTGTCCTTCTCTCATTCTTTCTTTCTTTCTTTCTTTCTTCTTAAATTTAATTCTTCTTCTTTTCTCTCTCTCGCTCATTCTCCCTTTCATATCTGTTCTTTCCTCTGCCTTACTTTTAAATATACCATTTCCCCCTACAATAATCTCAAGGAAATACATCCGGGTTCTTGGAGACTGCAAAAAAAAAAATGGCTGACTAAAGAATGGTAAATGGTGAAGACGAAATTGGAGATGCGAATTGTAATTGTCATAATCTTAACTTGGCCCAAATAAAACTGAGAAAACTTCTCTTGAATTAAGCCTTGCTCAGACGCATATATGAGTGAATTTTAGATCTTACACACTCACGATATTTGCAATAATGTGTTTATTCCATTTGTAGGTTAGAAATATATATATATATATATATATATATATATATATATATATATATATATATGTGTGTGTGTGAGCGTCTGTGTGTGGAGGGGCTGATAGAAATAAGTGTACTTGCACGGAATAGAGGTTAAGAGAGAGTTTTTTTTTTCAATCTGACTTCTTATATATATTTTTTACTAGTTACATATCATTTAGGTTTTTACCATTGCAAAATTTAATACTTATACTGTTCCACTTTTCATTCTATCATGTCTCATTACATATTTGCTGGTTTGGGATCTATTTACATATATTAGGAGACCACCCCATATATATATATATATATATAATATATATATATATATATATATATATATATATATATATATATATATATTATATATATAATATTTAAATATATATATTTTATATATATATATATTATATATATAATCTTTATACATATATTATATATATTTAATGTTTATATATATATATATTTATATATATACATTTATATATATATCATGTTCATTTATATATATATATATTTATATACAAGTATATAATTGGTATATATGGAATGAATTCCGATAACCAACAATTACTATTCTTAAAAGAGTGCTCAATACAAAGTAGAGCAGATATAATTATTTTTTATAAAGAAATTATAACATAAGTATGTTACTACAAAAATAGCCATTTTCATAAACCATTTTTTTTTTCAACATCATCACTTGATAAGACACAGAGTGTGTTGAAACAAAATGGCTATTTTTGTAGTGATTTTATAACATACATATGTTATAATTTTTTATAAAAAATAATTATATATTTATATACATATATCATATTTTTATATATATATATATCATATTTATATATATATAATGGACTCTCCCGTCGGTTTCGATGTATGAGGATCTGACAACTTAACCAACTGATTCAGTTATGAAATTTTCTGCAATAATCTTAAGATCTTTTAGATCTTGCTCTCACTTCTTGAAGACAATTCGGACTAGCAAATTGAAAACTGCTGAGTCCACTAAAACACGTTGATCTTCATTCTACCCGCTCCAAGGCTAAGCGCTTGAGAGTTTTATGAAGTATATTGACAATTGATAAGTTGCTTTTCAGCTTGTCTTTGTATCTTAGTCATGGGCGTCCTACAATGGGATTCATCAGGGTGAACAGACACTTCACCCTGATGATCACATGTGCTGAAATCTAGATAGGTCGTAACAGGCTCATTAGGATTTATTTATTTTACTTTTGCTCTACTTAGTGTATTGAGCACTCTGCGTTTTAACTTATTACTCACTGGGTTTTTTTTCTTTGCAACAGAAATTCAAGGTATTGGACATTTTTTTTCAATTGTCCACAAGTTCTGTATATCTGGGTACTTTTGGTTATTCTTTTAGTTTTATCAAGGACGATTTGTATTTTTCATTTTTAACTAAATGTGTAGGTTTATATATGTCACTTCCATGGATAAAAGAACCTTATTGTTTTTGGAAATAAAGAGACAATGGGTAACTTCCTTTTTTATTACGGGAGACATATTAACTTCATGAAAACAGAAATTGGCAATTATGGCATGTTTGAAAGATTTTGTAACCAATATAACATCATCATCAGTGTTATATCAGTGCAAGATACATACATATATATATATATATATATATATATATATATACTTGTGTATCATGTGACCTTTAAAGACCTAATTTTTAAGCTAATTTAACTATGGTAAATGGATATATATTTTGTTCAATAGTGTAGCCAGGACCAGCAATACATCCACTAATTTTATATCTCATGTATGATGTGACCCCGTTAAAATTAGCTTCAAAATTAGGTCTTCAAAGTCACATGATATGCAAATATATACATATATATATATATATATATATATATATATATATATATATATATATATATATATATATATATATTTATACACTTTGTGTCCAGAAAAAAAACCGCTTGTCCATAGCTGGTAGAAGAAGAGAATTCATACTTTTCCCAAATATATTAGCACGTAAGTGAATGTAATGGATATGACTGGAATTCAAAATCTGCTCTCCAATTCCTCAATCTGAGCTACTATCCATTACTCCACCATGCCACCTCTTTCTCTCTCTCTCTCTCTCTATATATATATATATATATATATATATATATATATATATATATTACAAATTAATTGGTTTAATATATGTTTTTGTTAAGCTACACAGTTCTAACCATGTTTCAAAAATGGAAGCTAAAAGCCCCAAATTTAATTTTGTAATTAAATTAAAGACATTAGTTCCATTTCATCCTCAAATGAATTTTGAGTAACTTTTAAAATTTTAAAAGTTACTGTTCTTTCTTTTATTTATATACATATATATATATATATATATATATATATATATATATATATATATATATATATATTTTTTTTGAATGGATCTTTTAATATAACATTATTTCAATAATTGTTTTGAGTTGAAATTAATAAGAAGACTTTAGTGAGGAAAAGAACAATAAATTTACAGAATTCAGGAAGACAGACGATGATGATTGACATTGCATTTGCATTTTTGAGGACTGTAAGTGGCAAGGAAGCAAGAAATTGGAAGAGTATTGTATAGACATGAACACTAAGCCCATTTCTATAATCCTTAAGCTGTGTGAATAAACTCCACTAGCAAAAATATAAATAAATAAATAAATATGAATTTGATGCTATTGACAAATTGTAAAATTAGGGGTCAACAGTGAAAAGTGGAACAGGCTAACTCTAATTGGAACGTTGACATTTAGAAAGCGTTTTTCTGTCTGTCAGCTAATGTCTTTCTGATTCTGTTGAACATTAAGAAAGGGAAAAAGATTGACAAAGCTATTTAAAAGTCGATATGAAAATAGCAGTAGAACAAAGGTATCTCTATTACGTTGCGTTTGTTAGAAACAAAGAGAAGAGTGCTGAACTGTTATGCAACATCTATCCTCTTGTATGGCAATGGATGCTGGAAAATCTCTCCACTGATGAAGAGAAAACTAGAGGCAGTAGAAATGTGGTTCTGCAGTAGGATACTGAGAATTCCATGGATGGAGTGAGTAAGCAACAAAAAAGTCTTAAAGAAAAGAATGAGATAGATAGATAGATAGATAGATAGATAGATAGATAGATATGAATGGGTTCAGATAGATAGACAGACAGATAGATAGATAGATAATGAACAGAATATAATAGATAGATAGATAGATAGATAGATAGATAGATAGGAATGAATAGACAGACAGACAGATATGAATGGGCTGAGATAGATAGATAGATAGATATGATGGGTTGTAATAGATGGATATGAATGAGCTGAAATACACAGATAGATAGATAGATAGATAGATAGATAGATAGATAGATAGATAGATAGACAGATATGAATGGGCTGAGATAGATAGATAGATAGATAGATAGATAGATGGATTGATAATAGATAGATATGATGGGTTGTAATAGATGGATATGAATGAGCTGAAATACACAGATAGATAGATAGATAGATAGATAGATAGATAGATATGATGGGTTGTAATAGATGGATATGAATGAGCTGAAATACACAGATAGATAGATAGATAGATAGATAGATAGATAGATAGATAGATATGGATAGATAGATAGATATGAATGGGCTCAGATAGATAGATGGATAGATATGATGGGTTGTAATAAATGGATATGAATGAGCTGAAATACACAGATAGATAGATAGATAGATAGATAGATAGATAGATAGATAGATAGATAGATATGAATGGGCTGAGATAGATAGATAGATATGATGGGTTGTAATAGATGGATATGAATGAGCTGAAATACACAGATAGATAGATAGATAGATAGATAGACAGACAGACAGACAGATATGAATGGGCTGAGATAGATAGATAGATAGATATGAATAGATTGAGATAGATGGATATGAATGGGCTGAAATAGATAGACAGACAGAAAGATAGATACATAGATAGATAGATATGAATGCGTTTAGGTAGATAGACTGGGATAGATAGATTCATAGGTAGACAGAAAGACAGACAGACAGACAGACAGATATTAGTTTGAATCATAAATAATTTCCATTTCTCTTAATCGACTTCATTTTTAAAAAATAAAGTACACATCCATCATTACAATTGATTTCCCAAAATTGAAATTATTTACATCCTAATAAGACTCAATGTTGTGCAGTGTGTTATTATAGTTTTTTATGCTTTAATTGATCTAAAATCAATTGTTGTTTTTTATTGATTACTACTTTTTGATCTATACACTCTTTAAACTTCTTGGTTCTATCTGAACAACTGAGGTGAAATATTTGATTACTTCTTCTTTTTCTATTTGCTGTGACCCTTTAGGATGTGGGCGATCATGGTTCTCCACAACTTCCTATCCTTTGTAGCTCTTATCAATATTTGTCGTTTCGCTTTACTTCCCCTTCTCTCTTCATCCAACCATTTAGAAAAAGCTCATTTCGTAGATTCCTCACTGTTCACCTCTGTTCTTTTTGTATACAGTATGCCCTGTAGGTGTCTAATTTTCTAGGCCCTCTATCCTCATTATGGACCCTAAAATTTTAAACTATATTTGATGAGACGGTTTTTTTCCCCAAATCGAAACTACATTTTAATATATTTCTTTCCCACGACATGTGTGTTACGCTTCACACTCTTCCCCCAAACACATCCACATGACTGTCAGAAGGTTCTTATCTCCACCCACCAAACTCTCTATTCATCAACCTAGTGGAATGGACACTGCTATTCTGTGATAATATGCAAAGCCCAAGGCAAGATTTGAAGACATTTTCGACCAACCAAAAACTTTTTAAATAATCAACATGTTTAGTCTGGGAATTATAGCCACAGCTTCTATGTGCCATGTACGTTCAGGGCATTGGTGATCATAACTCTTTATGATTTCTTGTGCTTTGTAGCGCTTAATAAATATTTTCTTTTTGTTTTCACTCAGAGACCTTGTCAAACTACCTATTTATTCAAGCTTGCTAGGTACGTTACGCATTGTTTTCCTTTAACTCTCCTTGCCTTCAAAGTGTCCTGTGAATATCAAATTTTCTAAACCCTCTTTCCTCATTATGTGCCCAAGAAAATTTAACAGTCTCTTCCTAATGTTGAATATAATTGTCCGTTTTGTTTCTATTTTCTCTAAAATTTTGTTGTTGCTCACAAAAATTTTATAAAAAAATTTAAAAAAAAAGAATAATCTCCCATTATGTTTAGTATAAAATAAAATTCACAGCTTCAAATTAATATATATTTTTTTTAATTTATTTTTTTATATAAAAAAATAAAAATCATATTTTAAATGCAATATGTATTTTTTTAAAAAAAAACTGTAACCCCCCCCACCATGTAATATATGGACTGTACCAGCATTACGTTAACCAGATATTTTTATTCAAATTTAAATTATGTAAGAGTCAGTCTCTACCCAGCATCTGAAGTATGTGTTGTGCATGAAGTTCTGAGTCATACTACCAGTGAGGGATGTATTCAAGAATACCTGTCTACTAGGGCGGCTTGCCAATCCCTATTGCGGACGGTTTCTCAGGGACATTTGTGTTTATTCATCATCCACAGAGCCCACCTGTGGTTTATACTACAACTATGCTGAGCAGACCTTATTTGCAATTTCTGGGAAAGAGTGTGTTATCTAGCATGATCAACAATTTGAACAAGTCCAGCATGCCCAAGCCCTCGGCCACGATGGCTTGTGACTTCATGCTAGCATAGCTATCGATGGTATCCAAGAGTTCTGTCTACCTAATTTCACTCACAGAGCTTGGGTCAACCCATGGTATGGTTTTTCAGGCACTTTTCACAGTTGCTGCATGCTAGAGTCTACCTCTCCATTCCATGGTTAGATTTGAATCCAGGTCTCATTGTCAGAATGCGAACATTCTAACCAATTGGCCATGTGCCCATACCGGTGAGGGATATATATATATATATATATATATATATATATATATATATATATATATAGTGGGTGTAACACTAAAATTGTTCAAATCATGTAACAGCATGGGATAATTGTCCATACCGCAAAATGTTTAATACCTAAAAAATCACTGAACTAATTGAGTTTCTATTTCCCAGCTTTGCAGATAACACTTTTAGCCATCTTGATACCATTTGTTGTAAGAATCACTGAAAAACCCTTTGAGTTATTCAGCTAGAAATAGAACAGCGTTTTGTTTCAGCCCAACTATATCTTCACAACTGACCAATGGTGAGAGGAAAACGATCATTCAGACCTTCAGTAATAGCATGAACTTTCATACTCTGGCTTCCATCTTCAAAATCCATTCAAGAACCATCAAGAGAATGGTGAATAAGTTTAAAAAAGATGGAAAGTTTAAAAAAGATGGAAAGACAGAAAATTAGAAGGTTAGAGAGGGCAAAGATCATCTTGAATAAGTGAGAAAATGATCTAGAAATAATATATATATATTTGAATTTGATTTCAATCCTTCATGATCATTAGCTATGATTAATTAATGATGAACATGTAATTTTCGTTTATGATCGATTCCAGCACAATTCTTCTGTTAAGCTTAGAGAGTAATTATACATTCTTCTTGCTCAAAGTAGAGCCCAATAGTGTTATAAACTCTTGGAGAATTCCAGTAAGATATCTTTAATCATTTCTAAGATACAATGGTTCAGAGCTTAATCTAACAAATGGACAATTATTCTGTTACACAATTTGGACAATTTTGGCATTATATAAAATATAACTCCAGGTATGAAAAACAAAATTTTTAGTGAGAGTATGTGTGTGGAAGTGGGAAACAAATGTGAGAGGGAAATGTATGAAAGCGCTAGAGAGAGGGTGTAACAGAAGAAAGAAGAACAGGAAGGTTTCAAGGTGAAGGTGGGGATTAAAATTTAACAGGGAAAACTTTTAAAGAGAGGAGTTAAATGACAGTTTAAATGAGTGAGATACAGATAAATAGGAATTATTTCAGATGCATGAATTCACTGACCTAAAATTTTGTTTTTCATACCAGGAATTATATTTTCCGATTCTTTTCTGAATTTGTAGGTCTGATAATTTGGGTTGTAATTCCAATTCCAATAAAATAAATTATAAACATGGAATATTAGTGTTTGAACCTTTTATATTATATATATATATATATATATATATATATATATATATATATATATATATATATATCGATTTAGAAAATGAATTTCTTTTTGTATGACCATTTTTTTTTTTTTTTTTTTTAGGACCTAGGTACCTTTGGTAATGCCTCATCAGGGTCTTTTCGTTTTGCAAATGATTTTAAACAAACAATGAAAATGAAAAGAACGCCAAAATGGTATGGATTGGAACAACTAAAATCTTACGAAGATATATATTGTAAAATTAAAATAAATTTATGATTAAAATAAATAAATAAATAATGAATTAATAATAATACCAACCTGAGCAGTAAGATATATTGATTTTTGATATATGAGCAACTTATTTTCCTATCTTACTGCTCAGGTTGGTTCATTTAATCATTATTAATTTAAACCCTTGATTATTCCCTGCAAAAAAAAAAAAAAAATAAAAGAAATTCATTTTCTTTTAAATCGTTATATTTGTTTTGTATATCAAAACATTATTCCAATATATATATATATATATGTAATGATGATGTAATGGCAAACTTAAAAATAGAGAGAGAACTTCTGGTTCGATTCTTAGCATCCTTTGTGAGACTCGCGTTTCATCAAGGAAGGGATGCAGATTGTAAGACTTCCGATCAATGATGCATAAAAATAACCACCTTTGCTCCTGAAGCACCTCTCAGTCTTTAAACATCACCGCCCCCACCTTACTGACAACCAACATTAAATTATGTCACACCCGTTTCTTGTGTTCTTTCCTTCACCACCTATCCCATCCGTCACAATTTTTTCTTCTCTTTCTTAATTTCTCCATAGATCCGCTTCGTTACGACTTTTCTGCTTGTAATTTGAAAGCGAAATAGTGGCAAATCAGGTTTCCATGGAGATATCTGTGTTGCAGCTGCTTTTGAAGTGGGACGGAAATGAAAGGAAGGGGAGGGTGTTATGTTACCAAAAACTCATTCCTTTAAAAACGGTTTTTGCGTAAAAGAATGATAGAGAGAATGAACGGAAGAAGGAATGAAGAATCTTTCACCATTCTTTCATTGACAAGAGGAAGAAAATTAGGAAGAATATTTAACAATAATCTTAGTTTAGTATGGTACAAGGCCAGATGAAAGTGAGATGGAATAGCAAATTTATATCACATTAATCTTCAAAGAGGAGAGCATGGTTACCTTGAAAATCAGCATTAAAAATTCTGTTATATTGAGAAATCTAACCATAGCTTAATATAGCAAAATCCCATAAGAGGAAAGAAATGGGATAGGAAGATTGTGTAGCGTCAGTTCTCTATTAAATCACTTCCCAGATATTTAAATTGTTATATTTGTTTGGTTCTGTTACCTTTAGTTTATAATCCCCATGATGGGCTCTTCTTTTGCGAACAACCATATATTCTATTTTCTTGCAATTGGTGTTTAGTCCTTTCTTCTTGCTTTCCTTTCATTATCTTCTATAGGAGTTCTTGTAGTTTCCTTTCTTTGTCTGCATTCAACACTGTGTCATCTATATATCTTATATTGTTAAGATTGTGTCCTCCAATAATGGATCCTGGCAAGACTTTTAATTCTTTCAAAATCACCACACTGTAAATATGGAACAAGTCTAGTGAGAAGATACATACTTGTCTTACACCAGTTTGTGTCTAGTGAGTGTCAAATTCTCCAAGCACTCTTTCCTAATTATGTCTCTCTTTCTCTCTCTCTCTGTATATATATGTGTGTGTGTGTGTGTGTGTGTGTGAAAATATATAGAAAATAGGCAAGAACTCGTTAGGTAAATAATCCAAAGTTCTTTAGTATTTTTGTTATTTTTAAAAGACAGTGCTCGATACAAAAGTAGAGCCTAAATATATATATATATATATATATATATCATAAATTTACTTATTTAAAATATGGTTCCATTGCTACACAGGAATTACCATGTTTCAAACACAGAAGCTAAAAACTTCAAATTCAGTTATAGAATTAAATTACAACCCTAGTTCTGTTTCATTTTGAAGCAAATTTTAATTTAATTCTATAATTGAATTTGAAGTTTTTAGTTTCTGTTTTTTGAAACCTGGTAATTCCTGTGTAGATAAATCATATATTTTAAATAAATAAATTTATAATATTTATGTTCTGTAGATTTGCATTGAACACTGTTTTGTAAAAAATAAAAAATATAATAAGAACACCAGATTATATATCTTACTATTCTTTTCTCTATTATAATATATATATATATATATATATATATATATATATATATATATATATATTATAGTAAAAAAAGAAAGAACAGTAAGATATATAATCCGGTGTTCTTATTGATAGTTTTATTTTTGCAAAACAGTGCTCAATGTAAATTTACAGTGCATAAATATAAATCAGTTAATTTACATTGAAAAACATAAAGGAAAAAAATTAATTATTTTTAATAATATGTGGAAATCTCTGCCTTTTACCTGAAGACGGTCGTGCAATCAGAAACATATGTAGTAAATTATGGAAAATAAAGCATAATATTTTTTTTTTAAAAATCCACATTACAACCAAAAACGTTTATTTTCTCACTTCTTTTAATCTCCACACTTTTCTCTTGGAACTACTATAACCTCTTTTTTTATATATATATATATATATATATATATATATTTATATATATATATATATATATATATATATATATATATATATATATATCTTTGTAATTTGCATGTTGGGCTTTTCTTTTTACTAAAACCATTCAATCTCCTTACAATTGATGTTTTAGTCCTTTCTTATTGTATTCCTTTTGTACTTTCTGGAAAAGTTCCTCTTGTTAAGATTGTAACTGCCAATAATAAATCCTGGCAGGACTTCTAATTCTCTTAGGAACACTTCATTGTAAATGTTGAATAAGTCTGGTCAGAAGATACATTCTGGAATGAATTAAAATGTCATATTAAATTTGTGAATAGTTCAAGTGTCATATCATTAATCAGCACCATGGTGACATTAAATATTGATATTTACTAACGTTACCTCAGTAAATATATAAAATATTCTATTTTTCCTTTTTTTTTTCTCTTCTTCCTCTGCCTTCTTCTTTTCTTCTTCACATGTTTTTTCCTTTATCAAATATTCTATTTTTTTCTTCATTTTGCTACATTCTCTTTTCCTGTTTTTCATTCAAAAACTATTCTGTTTTTCTGCCTCCTTTTCTTCTTCTTCATGTTTTTTCCTTCATCAAATATTCTTTTTTTTTTCGCTTCTTCCTCTGCCTCCTTCTCTTCTTCTTCACAGGTTTTTTCATTCATAAAATATTCTATTCTTCCTTTTTTCTTCGCTTCTTCCTCTGCCTCCTTTTCTTCTTCATCATGTGTTTTTTCCTTCATTAAATATTCTTTTTTTTCTTCGCTTCTTCCTCTGCCTCCTTTTCTTCTTCTTCTTCTTCACCTGTTTTTCCTTCATTAGATATTCTATTCTTCCTTTTTTCTTCTTTTCTTCCAAAGCCTTCTTCTTTCCTTCTTCTTTGCCTGTTTTTTCTTTCATCAAATATTCTATTCTTCCTTTTTTTTCTCTACTTTTTTCTTCTTCACGTGTTTTTCCTTCATCAAATTTTTTTTTCATTTTTTTGTTCTTCCTTTTTCTTCTCTTCTTCCTCTGCCTTCTTCACCTGTTTTTTCATCCATCAAATATTCTATTGTTCCTTTTTCTTCTTTTCTTTTCTCCTTCTTCACATGTTTTTCCTTTATCAAATTGTCTATTCTTCCATTTTTCTTCTCTTCTTTCTCTGCCTTTCTGAAATTTTCAGGGAATCAGGAACACTGGAATTTGTTCTACAAAGTCACAGTTCTTCAGAAAATCTGTACAAGTGGTACTAATCCCTTACATTGAGAGGGGAAATGAGGCTGATTTGACTCGATGGAAGTATCATGTGAATTACCAAATAACAGAAACCACATCACTTGAGGACTTTCAACAACATCAACAACTAAAATGAATAGCACATGTAATGAGGTGATAATGTATGGCATAAACAAGGTTTTGACACTCCACAACACTTTAAACAAAAGGTTAGGAAGGAAACCTCCATCAGTACTGGAAAGAGAGATAACAGCTACTGGACTTGAGAAACCTGTTTTCCTGAAATATTGTTTTTAGTGAAAGATTTTATAAACTTTAACTGAAAACAGTACTGACTGCTTGGTCAATGAATGATAAAGGTTTCCTTATAAGGAAACAACTTTTATTATCATTATAATTACCAGAACTTGGAAAAAGTTTTAGTATAATTTCCCACTGCATTTTTCTTGGTTTTGAATTCAGAGTAGACTGGCTGTCAGCCAAGTCTAAAGAACATATTCTACACTGATGTTTAACCCATAGCTATTGGGGGAGAAGAGCTTTGAAAGAAATGATGAACAAATGAATGAACAAAAGACAGAAAAATTGTTTTTTTTTATAGCGTATCATCCCTTTGCAGGCTATTTAAAGCCAGATAATATTTTTAGATGGTAATAATTTTGTAATAATGATTTATTGATACAAATTCTCATATCTGGGGAAGAGATGTGTTGGATTCATATCTTTATCAGGTGTACTTGCACATAAGGGAATATAAAAAACCCGACTGGAATTGGAACTTGGTTCTTCGAAAAAAAAGGAAGAAAGAAAAACATAAAGAAAGAAAAGAATGAAATGGAAGACGAGAAGGAAAGAAACGAGGGGATTGCAAAGAAAGAAAGAAAGAAAGAAAGAAAGAATGAAAGAAAGAATGAAAGAAAGAAAGAAATGAAAGAAAAAAGAAATGTAAGAAGAGAAGGAAAGAAATGAGTGGACTGTAAAGAAAGAAAGAAAAAAGAAAGACAGAAAGAAAGAAAGAAAAACAAAAAAAAGAAAGACAAAAAGAATGATAGAAAAAAAGAAAGAAAGAAAAGAAAAGAAAAAGATAAAAGAAAAGAAAGAAATGGAAGAAGAAAAGGAAAGAAACGAGGGGATTGCAAAGAAAGAAAGAAAGAAAAAGAAAGAAAGAAAGAAAGAAAGATGAAAGAAAAAGAAATGTAAGAAGAGAAGGAAAGAAATGAGTGGATTGTAAAGAAAGAAAGAAAAAAGAAAGACAGAAAGAAAGAAAGGAAATGAAAGACAGAAAAAGAAAAACAGAAAGAAAGAAAGAAAGAAAGAAAGAAAGACAAAAAAGAAAGAAAGAAAGACAAAAAAGAAAGAAAGAAAGAAAGAAAGACAAAAAAGAAAGAAAGAAAGACAAAAAAGAAAAAGAAAGGGGATAAAAGAAAAGAAAGAAAGGGAAGAAGAGAAAGAAGGAGATGAGGAGACTTGTAAAGAAATAAAGAAAGAAAGAATGAAAGAAAAACAGAAAGAAAGAAAAGTTCATTTTTAGAGAAAACCTTCAATTCATTTTATAATGTATTAAGGATTATCCATTTATTATCCGTTTTGGATTATTATTTTAATAAATGCACTTTCTTATTCTTCTTATGCACTTTTTGCTTCTTTTACACATCTGCATTTTTTTTTAACCTGTTGCATTTTTCATTATCTTTAATCTCCTGTTTGACTCATACATTTTGCTTGTTTTTTGCTTTGTCCTTGATATAAAAGCATCATAATTTTTCCTTCATTATCATCATTATTATTATTATCATTATTATTAATGAGAGTAAGGCCTGAGGAGAAACATTATTAAAAAATGAAGAAAAATAGAAAAAAACAGAAGATGAAGGCAATAAGGATTTATTCAGACGGTAAAAGAATGCCGGGAAATGGCTTCAAAAATGGCTACACAGTGGAAGCTATGTTGACACAAATCTGTAAATTTGTGTTTGTGTTTGGGTGCATATGAAATTCCAGCTGCATGAATGGATAAAAAACTTTAAAAACATTGCAAGGAAGAGTTGCGCCACGTGACAACTCTGTGGCAAATAGCTGTGACTGGTGTCTATAAGATTTGATGTTAAATCCCTTATTACTGCTTCGGTGTTGAGGGGTGAGATATATATGAGTCAGACGAGAATGGGAAGGGGTAACTCTGGCTTTTGAATCAAAACGGAGAATGGCTTTCTCACATTACTGCCACTCTTTTTACTGTTAAAATACGCAAGAAGCAAATAGTATAAATATTAATTTCATTATGTTAGAAAAGGGCTTTGGGAGGTGATGGAGCAGAGGAAACGGAAGTGCACACACATATATGTGTGTGGGGGGGGATAAAAGTAAGCATGAAAGACAAGGAAGAACTGAAGAGAGATTAAATAAAGAGAAAAGAAAAAACAAAGTATATAATAATAATAATAATAATAATAATAATAATAATAATCATGATATTGAGGAGAAGAAGAAGAAATTAGTTGAATGGAAGGAAAAAATGCAATAGAAAAAAATATATGTACAAATGAATGAAAGAGGAATTATAAATGAGAAATTGAAGGAAAATTAAATTTGAAAAGAATGTGTCGATACTTAAAAGATAGCAGAAAGACATGAGCGAATTATGAAAGAAAGAAAAAATGAATAAGAAAATGAAAGAGAAATGAACATGAAAAACAACATAGAAGGAAATGGGGGGGGAAGGAATAAAAGATGTCAAAGAAGAAGATTAGGAGAAGAAAGAAGGAAAACAAGTTGAGAAACACAAGAAAATAGCGAAATAGATGATGAAAGAGAAGATGAAGAAAAGAAGAAGGTCGTGAAAGAAGAGAAGAAACAAAAGGAAAAAATGAAATATTTGATGAATGAAAAGACAGAAGATGAAGACAGGAAATAAAACAAAAGAATAGGAAAAACAAAAAATGGAATATAGGATGAATAGAAAAAAACATGAGAAGAAGATAGTGAAAGAAAAGAAGAAAAATGAAAGAATAGAACAGATGATGAATGAAAAAAAAGAGAAGAAAATTAAGAGAAGGCAAAGAAAAAAGAAGAAAAAAGAAAGAATGAAGTATATGATGAATGAAAAAAATCAAAAGAAGAAGAGAAGTAGGTAGTGAAAGAAAAGAAGAAAGAATGTCGAACATAATATATGATGAATGAACAACAGAAGAAGAATAAGAGAATGTAGTGAAGGAAATGAAGAAAATAGGAAATATGGAATATATGATGAATGAAAAAACAGAAGAAGAAAAAAGAAGTAAAATAAAAGAAAGAATAGAATATTTGATGAATGAAAAACAAGTGAGGGGAGTGTAAAGAAAGAAAGAAAGAAAGAAAGAAAGAAAGAAAGAAAGAAAGAAAGACAATATATATACAGTGAAGATAAAATAATTGTGGAAATTGTAAAGAAAGAAAGAAAGAAAGAAAGAAAGAAAAACAGAAAGAAAGAAAAACAGAAAGAAAGAAAGACAAAAAAGAAAGAAAGAAAGGAAAAGAAAAAGATAAAAGAAAAGAAAGAAATGGAAGAAGAGAAAAGAAAGAAATGAGGGACTGTAAAAAAAAAGAAAAAGAAAGAAAAAAGAAAAAGAAAGAAAGAAAGAAAGAAAGAAAAAAAAATATATACACAGTGAAGATAAAATAATTGTTTTTAAATTGTAAAAGAAAGAAAGAAAGAAAGAAAAAGAAAAAAAAAAACAGAAAGAAAGAAAAGACAAAAAAAAAAAGAAAAGAAAGGAAAAGAAAAGATAAAAAAGAAAAGAAAGAAATGGAAGAAGAGAAAGAAAGAAATGAGGGGACTGTAAAGAAAGAAAGAAAGAAAGAAAGAAAGAAAGAAAGAAAGAAAGAAAGAAAATATATACACAGTGAAGATAAAATAATTGTGGAAATTGTAAAGAAAGAAAGAAAGAAAGAAAGAAAGAAAGAAAAACAGAAAGAAAGAAAGACAAAAAAGAAAGAAAGAAAGGAAAAGAAAAAGATAAAAGAAAAGAAAGAAATGGAAGAAGTGAAAGAAAGAAATGAGAGGACTGTAAAGAAAGAAAGAAAGAAAGAAAGAAAGAAAGAAAGAAAGAAAGAAAGAAAGAAAGAAAGAAAGAAAGAAAGACAAAAAAGAAATAAAGAAAGAAAGGAAAAGAAAAAGATAAAAGAAAAGCAAGAAATGGAAGAAGAGAAAGAAAGAAATGAGGGGACTGTAAAGAAAGAAAGAAAGAAAGAAAGACAATATATATACAGTGAAGATAAAATAATAATATAAAAAAAATAAAAGAAAGAAAAACAGAAAGAAAGACAAAAAGAAAGAAAGAAAGAAAGAAAGAAAGGAAAAGAAAAAGACAAAAGAAAAGAAAGAAATGGAAGAAGAGAAAGAAAGAAATGAGGGGTCTGTAAAGAAATAAAGAATGAAAGAAAAACAGAAAGAAAGATGTCTATTCCTATCTACCTATCTATGTCTATTCATATCTATCTATCTATCTATCTATCTATCTATCTATGTCTATTCCTATCTATTTATCAATCTATCTATTTCTATTTCCTGAAGTAGTAGTTGGATTGAGGTAAAGAAAGCGATAGATGAAAAGAATGGAACAGGGAAAAAGAAAGAATGAAAAACAGGTGAAAAAAATTGTAAAAACAAAACAAAAATGAAGAATGACAAATTTCATGAATGAGAAATAGCTGAAAAAATTGAAGGTGAAAAAAAAAAGAGTTATTGAACAGCTGATGAATGAAAATAGATGAAGAAACAGAGGCGCAAGAAGAAGAAGAAGAAGAAGAAGAATGAGAAGAAAAAGAACATGAAGAAGAAATATAAAAAGAGCTATGTAATACATTATGAAGGAGAAATAGGTGAAGAAAAAGGATTCAAGAAGAAGAAAAATGATAGAATAAACAAAGAATGTGATGAATGAAAATAGCTGAAGGAAAATAGATTCAAGAAGAAAGAGAAAAAATATCAAAAAAAAAAAATTATGAATGAAGAATGAATCAAAGATATTTCTATCCAAGAACAAGACCAGCGCAAGACAACAGAAGAGAAAGGCGGCAAAAGAAAACAAACTGATAAAGAAGAAAAAATATACGAATGATGAAAAGTAATAATAAGAAAAAAAAATGCAATCAGGCAATGAAGTAAGCACATTAACAGTTGTGGTTTTCATGTCTTTCTCACAGACTTCTTCATTTAATCATTCAATTTTTCATTCTTTTATTCATTCATTCATTCACTCATTCATTCATCGGTGCATTTGCTTGCTTACACGTTGTGTGCATACTCAATTAGCACATCTTTTGCAGCGAACATATTTCCTTAATTGGGGCAAAAACAGTGCACAAACCACATAGGGTTATGTTCATACAAACATGATTTTTATGACATTCTAGCCCAAGTTTTAATAGTCTGTTGTTGCTGCCGTTAAAATAAATAAAGGAATAAAGATGAACAAAATATAACTCAGTGTATCAATAAAGCAAAATGGAAGGAGAAGACGACAACGAATGCAACAATGGTGGCGAAGAAAATTATACCTTAATCGTTTATGTATTCTCAGACTCAAAATTCATCTTCGAAGATTTCGACTTCAGTGGTTTGGCATTTAATTAGCAGAATGGGAAAGAAATCATTGGAGACAATGCGTATTTGAACATCACAGTGCTGCAATAATGATGGAGGTTTAAAAGTGGTAGCGATCGGCAGAGCATTTTGTGCACTGATTGCTATCTCTTGTGTTTATTTAGGGTACACGTTTAAATCTTGAAAATAAAATAATGAACATATAAGCCACAACTCAGGTTTTATGAAGCGGAATGATATTTGCAACTTGAATAGATTTCATCTATCAATCTTTTTATTTCTATTCCTATCTATCTATCTATCTACCTATGTCTATTCCTATCTATCTATCTATCTATCTATGTCTATTCCTGTCTATCTATCTATCTATCTATCTATCTACCTATGTCTATTCCTATCTATCTATCTATCTATCTATCTATCTATCTATCTATCTATCTATCTACCTATGTCTATTCCTATCTATCTATCTATCTATCTATCTATTCCTGTCTATCTATCTATCTATCTATCTATCTATGTCTATTCCCATTCATCTATCTATCTATCTATCTATTCCTATTCCCATCCATTCATCTATCTATCTATCCATCTATCTACCCATGTCTATTCCTGTCCATCTATCTATCTATCTATCCATGTCTATCCCCTATCCATCCATCCATCCATCCATCCATCCATCCATCCATCCATCCATCCACCCATGTCCATCCAACCATCCATCTATCCATCCATCCATCCATCCCCATCCATCCATCCATCCATCCATCCATCCACCCATGTCTATTCCCTATCCATCCATCCATATCCATCCATCCATCCACCCATGTCTATTCTGTCCATCCATCCATCCATCCATCTATCCATGTCTATCCCTGTCCATCCATCCATCCATCCATCTATGTCTATCCCCATCCATCCATCCATCTACCCATGTCTATTCCCATCCATTTTTCCATGTCCATCCAATCCATCCATCCCCTCCATCCATCCATCCATGTCTATTCCCATCCATCCATCCATCCATCCATCCATGTCTATTCCCCTGTCCATCCATCTATCCATCCATCCATCCATGTCATTCCTGTCTATCCATCCATCTATCCATCTATCCATGTCTATTCCCATTCATCCATCTATCCATCCATCCATGTCTATGTCCATTCCATCCATCCATCATCCATCCATCTATGTCATTCCTTTATCCATCTATCTATCTATCCATCCATCCATCCATCCATCCATCCATCTATCCATGTCCATTCCATCCATCCATCCATCCATCTATCCATCCATGTCCATTCCTATCCATCCATCCATCCATCCATCCATATCTATCTGTCTATTCCTATCTATCCATCTCCCATCCATCCATCCATCTATCCATCCATCATCCATCCATGTCTATTCCTATCCATCCATCTATCCATCTATCTATGTCTATTCCCATCTATCTATCCATCTATCCATCTACCCATGTCTATTCCTATCTATCTATCTATCTATCTATCTATCTATGTCTATTCTTATCTATCTATCTATCCATGTCTATTCCTGTCTATCTATCTATCTATCTATCCATCTATCCATCCCCATCCCCATCTATCTATCTATCTATCTACCCATGTCTATTCCTATCTATCTATCTATCTATGTCTATTCCATATCTATTCCTCTATCTATCTATCTTCCTCCATCTATTCCTTCATCTATCTATCTATCTATCTATCTATCTATCTATGTCGATTCCTATCTATCTATCTATGTCTATTCCTATCTATCTATCTATCTATCTATCTATGTCAATTCCTATCTATTCATCTATCTATCTATCTGGTGGAAATAGGGAGAGATAGGCAGAGTTTTGTGTTTTTACAAAAGTCAGTGGTCTGTTTAAAAATCTGCTTGCTGTATATATGATGACTTTACCAATGGACCCTTCCTTTCCTTTATTTAGGAGAAAAAATAAAGCAAAACCTCTCAGAGTTTGAAAATACCTTTGCCCAAAAAACAACAAAATATACAATGGAATAAAATATAAACAAATTTAAAGCATAAGGGATAGTTTATTTTTTGTGTTCTGTGTAGTGGCTGAAGTAGTTGGATATTACCTTTTTGCCTGATTTTCTAGTCTGGCTGGAAAGTCAAGATTTCAGTTGCTGGTTTGTATAGCAGGCTAGTAAGTAATGGAAGGTGGAAGGATAGATACATATTACTCTTTTTTAAGATGGCTGCTGAATGGAGGATTTATACACATTTAAAAAATCAAGTTTGTCTGTATTGATTTTACAAAATTATGCTGAAAATGGCTTTATACAAACTCTACCCTTAGAACATTATTGTCAAAAATGGCTTCTTCTACACAGTGATTTAATTATGACTTAATAATTAATTTCTGAATACAAGAAAAACCCTGTGAAATTAAACAAAATGTGTACTGAACTGTTATGTAATATCAGTCCTCCTATATGGCATGGAATGCTGGACAATCTCCTTATGCCTTTCATGAACTAAGCAAAGTATTAAGAGATAGGAAAATGTTGTTAGAGACAAAGAAAAGTGTGCTGAATTGCTTTGTAATATCTAATCTCCTATATGGCAGTGAATGCTGGACAATCTCCTCATGCCTTTCATAAAATAAGCAAAGTATTAAGAGATAGGAAAATGTCGTTAGAGACAAAGAAAAGTGTGCTGAACTGCTATGTAATATCTAATCTCCTATATGGCAGTGAATGCTGGACAATCTCCTCATGTCTTTCATAAACTTAGGAAAGTATTAAGAGATAGGAAAATGTCATCAGAAACAAAGAAAAGAGTGCTGAACTGTTATGAAATATCAGTTCTCCTATATGACAGTGAATGATGGACAATCTCCTCACAGATGAAGAAGATACTTGAAGCAACAGAAACAAAGAAAAGAGTACTGAACTGTTCTGTAATATCAGTCCTCCTATGTGGCAGTGAATGATGGACAATCTCCTCACAGATCAAGAAGAGACTTGAAGCAACAGAAACAAAGAAAAGAGTACTGAACTGTTACGTAATATCAGTCCTCCTATGTGGCAGTGAATGATGGACAATCTCTTCACAGATGAAGAAGAGACTTCAAGCAACAGAAATATACTTCAACAGAAGGATGCTGAGAATACCGTATACTGAACATGAGAGCAACAACAAAAGTTTTAGAGAAAATGGAAACAAAATGGAAACTCATATTTAATATCAGAAAGAGACAGTTGAAATTTCTAGGGTACATAATGAGGAAAGAGTGTTTGGAAAATCTGATACTCACAGGATTTATTGGAGGAAAGAGGAACAGAGGAAAACACCACATAGCATACTTAATGCACTTGAGTAAATAGAAAAATAACAAAAAGAAAAAAATTATTAAGAACTATGAAGGACAGGAAATTGTGGAGAGCCATGATCGCCAATGTTCTGAATTGACACAGCACATAGAAAGAAGAGGGCTGAGCTTGAATAAATGGATAGTGAACCAGTGTTTAGGAGAAATAACAAAAACACACCATTTATTAAGAGCTATGAAGGACAGGAAAATGTGGAGAGCCATGATCATGAAGAGTGACAGCACATAAAGAAGATGAAGGAAGAGCATTTGTAATTACAGCAAGGTGATCCTGAGAGGACTAGAAGTTCTACTAGGATTTATTATGGGCCATCACAATCCTAAGAGCATATGTTATGCAGATGGCAGTGTTGATAGTAGATAAAGAAAGGAAGATCTTACAGAAGGTAGTAAAGGAAAGGGAAACTTTCTTTCTTTCTTTCTTTCTTTATTTATTTATTTCTCTATTTCTTTCTTTCTTTATAATTTCCACAATTATTTTATCCTCTCTGTATATACATTTTCTTTCTTTCTTTCTTTCTTTCTTTCTTTCTGTCTTTCTTTCTTTCATTCTTTACAATTTCCACAATTATTTTATCCTCTCTGTATATACATTTTCTTTCTTTCTTTCTTTATTTCTTTCTTTCTTTCTTTACAATTTCCACAATTATTTTATCTTCACTGTATATATATTGTCTTTCTTTCTTTCTTTCTTTCTTTCTTTCTTTCTTTCTTTCTTTCTTTTTCCTGGTCCATATTGTTCTTTTTATTCTTAAACTTTTTCTTCTTTTTTCTTCTCAACCCTGTCCATTGTTCTTGTTTTATTTTTCTTTACAAATCTCAACCCAAATATATCTAAATTCAAGTTATTTCTTTTTTATTTTGTACTTGAGCCTCTTATTTATTTCTTTACTTATTTATATATGTCTTTCATTTTCTCAGTTCTTCTTTTTGGATTCCCCTTTCTAATAATACCTTTCAGACACGTCCAAGTTCTACATAAGATCCAGTTAGAATTTGACTTGCTAAAACCGATGATACATTTTGCTAAGCATACTCTGATTAAAAAAAAAAAAAAAAATCTTCTTTGGAATATATGAACAATCAGAAACACAGGTGTAGACATGTTTCAGAGCATTTCTATACTAGAGATTTGTCCGAGAAAGATGACAGGTGTCATGGAGAAGATATTGGTGATGGAGATGCAGGAAGAATTCAAAATGACAGGTGCAACTTCCAGTGATGACGCCATACCTCGATGTCGAACCATTCTTATTCTTCTGGCCTCTGCAACCTTCACGTTCACAAATGCCCCGCTTTTTTTTCCCGGATGTTAGGGAAAAATTACAAGTCATGAAGAGAGGTATTCGAAGAATAGAAGACAAGAGCTGTGAATGGCAAACGCACCTTGAACCGTGTCTCATCGTCAAATATGATCTTGTGTAAAACTTGTCAACTGTGTGCGAATTCTCATCATTTCTTTTCGATGATAAATTTAATCTATTTTGTTTTTTTTTGTTTTTAAAATGATGTTCACTCTGTACAAGGCCCAAGAACCACTCAATCTAGAACATTACAGACTAAGTGACACCACCCCCAAGCAAGGTGATAATGCCACCAAGACACAAGGATGTGACTGGGAGAAAGAGGAGGGAAAGACTTTAGGAACTGGCATCTAATTCTCTTCAAAAAACTGTGGAGGAGTGTGAACCTGGAGGATGCGTAAACCTATCTACTAATTCTTAAGTGAATTTTAAAGATAATATTTAAAAAAACCAGGTAAGATAAGCTCATGTTTGTTTCAGTATATGTTACATGTTTCCAAATTCTATAATAATTTCTTTGCAGGTGAGAAAGGATTACGACAACAACGAAGATAAATAAGAGAGAGGGGAAAAAAAGAAATTACTTATCCTATATATTAAGATGGATCCATTTTGTGCTATTCTAACTGACATCGATTTAATTCCATCTGACAGCAGGGCTTTTGATCAGGAGGTTTTGAGGAGTGTGGAACCACCTCTTAATTGCTGGTGTTCCCAGGTTCACCCTGGTCTGGCTTGGTGGCATCTGTCAGGGTCCCAGCTATGGACAAATAGTTACCCCCCCACCAAAGATGTCAAAACACTATAAAAGCATAAAAATAGGTTTTAATACCAGCAGTACATTTTTGGTAAAAAATTATTACCAGTAATACATTTTTGGAAAAATATTACTAACAATAGAGTTTGGGAAAAAAATATTACCAGCAATAAAAATCTTCAGAGTTTGTCTATATTTCTGAGATGAGGTATTATGTACAGTATTTACATTAGTCGGACTATTGTCTTCATCTTTGTCGCCATATTTGTCACAACGTTTCAGCCATTGTACGCTCCGGCCTTCTTCAGGTGGTTAGAACTAACGCCTTTATCCACTGTGCCATGTGTCCTCATCATCAAATATGATCTTGTGTAAAACTTGTCAACTGTGTGCGAATTCTCATCATTTCTTTTCGATGATAAAATCAAAACCTCAGGAAGTCCAAGCAGAGATACACTTCTTCTAAAAAATAATAGTCTGCTAAACTATTATTTAACACTTTCCCTCATTCCTAAACAATTTTTCAGGTTCATATTCGATTTTAAGTAGTTGGCTATTTCCCAAGTCGCATTTTGTAGGCCATGAAAATTGTCCTGTCTATTGCTAGTGACATTATTTAGGGTAATGTCATTTTTGTCTGCTGTATATATTGTCTATCCACTATATGTTTGTCTCCAGTGAGAACAAAATTTTCTACTGCAACCATATTTTGATTAAGGTCTTGACTTGATAATTCTGATGGCATTGTTTTCAGAACTTTAGCAAATGGAGTCAATATAATCTTGGCTTTTTTTTTTGTTTATAACTGCTATGAAGTGTTTTTTCCTTTGTATTTTATCAGTAAAACAGTAGTCGTTTATCTGGCATACCAAGAGCTACCTTACTTTTACTGTTTGGGCACTTATATAATCCATATCCTAGCTATGCCAATCAAGCAGTCATTTATATATCGCTACAATAATCATTTGCTGCAATGCTAGTTTGGGATGAGGCAAAAAACCTGAAACATTAGCTTAGAATACTTCATTTCTTTGGCGAATATTTCCTTAGTTAAGATATCAACATTTGTGTTGTTAATGAACACGTTTTTTTTCCTTCAGATTTATCAGCAGTCATAAGCTTACCTCTTTTTCCATTTGAATTCGTTGACCCAGCCTCCTTCATTTTGACGTTAGCTGATTTTTTGGGAAGAGATTTAGGCTTTCAACCAAAAGAGGAACAAGAAAACGAAACATGTTGTTTTTATTTATTGAGTCTTATTATATCAACTAACCAATAGAAGTAGCTCTATTGAATCAACCCAAGACATATAGTAGCTGCTATGAAAGGCAGCGTGCTTCAAAATTATTTTGAATTATTTTTTAAAAATTTTTCATTGATTTTGACTCGAAGCATTTGAATGGAGAAAAATGGATGAATTTAGTTTTAATGATGAATACTGATTTTCGGAAGTGGGTCAGGTTGAGAACTTTTCATATGAATGGATAAAATATTTTGTTTTTTTTGGGGGTGGGGGATTTGCTGTTTAAGAATTATTATGACTAGATATAAAATATTAACCAAAAAAATTAAGAAAATAATTTTGATAATAAATGTAGAGTTTAAAATGAAAACTATTCATTCATGGATGGTTTATATATTTTGTTCTGGATTAAATAGAAAAGATGAAATAAAATAAAAATAAAAGGGAAAACTTGACATTGAATCAACGAGCAAAGCTTGAAATGTTGAGAAATCCAAACGAAATCAAAACATTTTCTCCATTTTATCCTCTTCTGTAGAGACCCATTTAAATGTGGTCGTATGATTAATGTGAAAGTAAGGAAAAAATAAAAAAACCTGGCTAAATTTTTTTAGGACTCAAAAAGACCCCAAAATATCAAGCTACATTGTCCTGACTCTGCATTCGTCATACAAAAATTTAGAGTAAACCACTATTTGATTTAGTGTGTTTACTGCTTAGCAGTGAAGAATGTTAAAGCAGACTGGATCAAACAATGATTACCCCTACAAAGGTAGACGATGATTTGATCCCTGCTGTGAGCCGTATTTTGCTTTATTAAGATTTTTGAATGCACAGGCTGATATATACATCTTCTACCACCCTGGGGTCAGGATGGACCTGAGAACAACAACAATTAATGGTTCTGCACTCCCCAAAGTTTCCTGATCAGAGGCCTTGCTGCCGGATGTAATTTATCATCATACCCAGGATGATCTTACCTAAATGATTATAGCATTAAACATATAAATAAAGCATTCATGTGTCTGTTAAGGAAAATATATTTCCGTGTTCATTATTTCTAATTAATTTCTTTCAAATTGATGTCCCTTTTCATCATTGAATCTGCAGTTTCAACAAAAAGAAGAGTCATTTCTTTTTGACTAAACCTTTTTCTTTTATCTCCCTGATTCATTCAGGATGTAGGCGGTGATAGCTTTCCCCAAAATTGCTATACTTCGTAAATTTTAACAATGGTTTTTACTATTCTTTCCCCATTCTCTTCTTGCATTCCTTTAGACTGGTTACTCAATTTTTCCCCTCTGTCCTTCTTGTGTTCAATAGGTCCTGTCAGTGTCAAATTTTCCAGGTCTTCTTTTCTTGCTATGTATCCCAGAAATTTCAGTTGTGATTTTGCAATTTTATATATAAATGCTTTTCGTTTCTGCTTCACTTAAAACCTTCTCGTTGTAAAACTTCTATCTATTGTATTCTCAGTATCCTTCTGCAGAATCGCATCTCTGTTGCCTCAAGTAACCTCTTCATCTGTGAAGAAATTCTCCAGAAAGTGAATTTCATATAGGAGGATTGATATTACAAAGCTTTCCAGCACTATTTTCTTTATATTCCCTAAATCCTTCCGTAGAATCACATCTCTGTTGCCTCAAGTAACCTCTTCATCTGTGAAGAAATTGTCCAGCATTCATTACCATGTAAAAGTTCAGCACAGTTTTTGCTGTTTTTAAGGATTTTTTCTTCTTTCGTAATAATTTGCTTAATCTTAAAACGAATTTTGCTATTGCAATGTGTCTTCAGATTTCAGGTTCACGTTTCCCATCATCTATCAAAACACTTCCCAGTATTTAAACTTCTGTAATTGCTTGATTTGGAAGCTCACAAGCTGGACAGTAAGGAGAATTGGTAGAAAATGAATGAGTGATGTCATTCATTTGTTTCTTATTTCTATTTAATTATCTTATTACTTTCCATCTGCATGGCTGATGCTAACCTTCAGCAGAGTGACATCTTGTGCGTTCACAGACTAATCTTTTCAGCTGACATGAAGTGGGAAGATTATATTGAATCAATTCCTAAGTCAGCAGCTAAGAAAGTTGGCTCACTATGTTGTGCCAGGCAATTTTTCTCTACAGATTACAACTTACATATTTATAAATCTACTGCTTGTCCTTGCTTTGAATTTTGCTACAACACTGGGGCTGGTGCTCCTGTTATATGTTTAATGATTCTAGGTAAAATCCAAAGAAAAAATCTGCAATGTTATTGGTCTTGAACTGGCGTCTTGGTTTCAGTCTCTTCCCCCCCCACAATAACTTAGCTTTCATGGTAATTGTTCTGATGAAATTTCCTCTATGGTATCTAGACTTTATGAATTGAAGTGCAGTACTAGATTGGCAGCTAGGTCTCTTCATTTTACATTTGAAATGGCTAGACATAACCATAAGTTCTGTGCTAATAGTGTCTTTTCTCACACTTCTTGCTTGTGGGAATCTCTTCTGTCTTCTCAGTCAACTTCAAAGATTTAAATGCAATGTCAGTGATTATCTTCTGTCTTCTTAATTCTTATTCTTTTATTGTCTTCTCTCCTTAATAGTAGTTTTTCTCATATTCTTTAACAGTCAGTAACCCCTTGCATCCTAGTGGCTTTATTGCCTTTGATCTTCAAAGATGTAAATCCAATGTCAATCATTATCTTCTGTCTTCTTAATTCTTTTATTGTCCTCTCTCTTAATAATAGTTTTTCTCATATTCTTTAACAGTCAGTAACCCCTTGCATCCTAGTGGCTTTATTGCCTTTGATCTTCAAAGATGTAAATCCAATGTCAATCATTATCTTCTGTCTTCTTAATTCTTTTATTGTCCTCTCTCTTAATAATAGTTTTTCTCATATTCTTTAAAACTCAGTAACCTCTAGCATTCTAGCAGCTTGATTGGAGTGAAATGATTAAAAAAACTTTCATATTTAAACATTTGTTCCTGGGTGAATATTTCTAAGTCACCATTAATTTCAAGAGTTTCTTTTCAATTTCACACTATCAGTTCATCTTGATTTCTGATTAAGCATGTGAAGCAAAGGTTGTACTTGCTGCATTGTCGAATGACGATACAATTTTCAACTTTTTTTCTTTTAAAGTAATTATCTAAAAATCTTTTATTGGTCACATTTTTTAGGCGTCTTACAGTTTTGGTTTTCATCGCCATCTCAAGCTGAGTCATTTTTTTTTTTTATCTAAATTGTGCTTCTATTTTTTAAAAATCTTAGACCTATTTCTTCAATCAACATCATGGTGATTCCGCATGTCTTTGTTGAGTAAACGTGGAACTTGAAGTGTGAAACGAGACAGATCAGTGAAAGAGCAATCTTTGATATGTGAACAAGTGAAAATCATTTAGCAATATTCTCTGCGAACCACTATCCACTTAGACAACTCTATTCTACCAATTGTCAAATCGACACTCACCACTTTCTTCCCATCCTTCCCTCTTTTTATTCCTATACTCTTTTTCTTCTTTCTTTTCTACTTTAAGGCTTCTAGTTGTCTCTCTCTCTCTCTCTCTCTCTCTCTCTCTCACTCTCTCTCACTGTTTCACCATTTGCCATTCTGTCTGTCATTATTATTGATTCTTTCTCCTTACTCTCATCAAAACACTGGCTACTGTTCAATCGCTGAAGTTAAGCAACATTGAATCCGGTCAGTTTTTGGAAGGGGAATAACTTAGGAAAACTGGGTACTCTAAGCAACCACCTACGACCCAAAATGTGTTTTAGTTTTAAATAAAGGAAGCCAAAATAAAATAAAATTAATTTTTTTCATTGCATGTTTCTCTTGCATTTTCTTTTTTTTCTTTAAAACTTTCTTCCATATTTATCACCTTTTTGGCTTACTTTTTTTTCTTTTTCTTACTCTGAAATTATGGGCATGTAGCCAAGTGGTTAGAATGTTCACATTCTGACCATGAGTCCAGGGTTCGAATCTCACCTTGGTCAATTTGTCAGGAAGGAGACTTCCTGATGTTATCGGTTTGGAAGGCATTTGATCCCAGCATGTGGCACCTTTGGAAAGTGCCTGAAAATCATACCACGGGTTGACCCAAGCCTTTTGAGTGAAATTAGACAGACAGAACCTTGGGGGCCATTGATAGCTGTGCTAGCACAAAGCTATAAGTCATTGTGGCCGCAGGCTTAAGCATGCTCACCTTGTTCAAATTGTTGATCACACTAGATAACACGCTCATTCACAGAAACTGTAACTACAGTCTACTCAGTATAGTTGCAGTATAAACCACAGGTGGGCTCTGTGGGTGTTGAATAAACACAAAATGTGCCTGAGCAATCGTCTGTAATAGGGATTGGCTAGTCAACTTAGTAGACAGGTATCCTCAAATACAAGTGGCCAGCTATACACTAGAATCTAAATGAAATATTGTTTCTTTTTCTATTCTTACATGTTCTTTGCTTGCTTTCTTTCTCTTTTCTTTTTATATTACTTCTTATTTTCTTTCTTTTTTTTTCTTGATACAACCAATCTAACACTGCTATCAAATCAGTCGGAACATTTTACAATTTATGTTCACAAAATCAATCATTGATCTGAGTGAATTTGAAGAACAGGTTAATTCTATGTGACAGGCAACCAAGCGTTTGTTCACTTCCATTTTGGTGGGAGAAAAGATAGAAAGAAAGAGGGAGAGAAAGAAAGAAAATAAAAAAAGGAAAAAAGAAAGAAAGAAAGATGAAGCTTATAGAATATGGGAAGTTAATGAAAGAGAAAGAAAGAAGGAAATAAAGAAGACATTAAAGAATAATGAAAAGTGAATGAGAAAATATTGAAAAGCAGGAAAGAAAGAAAGAAAAAAGAAGAAAGAAAGAAAGTAATGAAAGAAAGACAAAGAAAGGAAGAAAAGGGCCAAAAATGAAGATGGAAAGAAAAAACGGAATGAAAGGAAAAAAGGAAGATAAGAAAGAAAGAAAGAAAGAAAGAAAGAAGAAAAACAATAAAAAGTAAGAAAGCAAAAAGAATGAAGGAAAGACAGAATAAACAGAAAGAAAGAAAGAAAGAAAGAAAGAAAAAGTAAGAAAGCATAAAAGAATGAAGGAAAGAAAGAAAAAAGATAAAAAGAAAAAAATTACACTATATATATTGTTCGGACAGTTGTCCTCATCATTGTTGCCATATTCATGATGTTTCAGCTGTTGTATGCTCTGGCTTACTTCAGGTGATTGGAATTTCAAACCAAACCCTTAATTTTGTCCTCTGTAGTAGAATGTTCTAGTTCTACATGCCATGCCTCTTCTGGATATTTCAGTTATCTCCCTTAAACTCAACTCTCCAAGTTTTTGTTCACCACTGGTATTGAACTCACAACTCTTTGGGTCAAGTCACTGGATTCAACCAACACTGTTATCCACTGTGCCATGTATCCGTGAGGACATATGGCCCAGTGAATAAAAGCGTTAGTGACTTGACTCAAAGAGTTTTCAGTCACTTTCCAAAGATGCACCATGCTGGGATCATCTCCTACCTTCCTCAGAGATCGACCATTGTGAGATTCAAATTCACGGTTGGACAGCAAACGTTCTAACTATTTGAAATGATATATGTTTATGCTGTATCTGCAGAAAAGTTATATCAAAGGTTTTATAGGTTTTTTTCTCATGGTTTTATATTTTCTGCATTTTTTCTAAATTTGAATTCAATGTTTTTGAATTTTTAAAATATTCTTTTTTTTTATTTCTTTAGAGCTGTTAAATACTAAACCATGTTTCTTCTTTTAGCCTTCTGTCCAAATCTCTAACCACTGAGTTATCAATAAATTCCATCAATGATATTCAGTCTTGTCCGAGGTGTTAATCTTATTGATTGCTACAACAGTCAGTTCGATCAGTCCGATTGGTTGACGGCTCATTGAGAGAATATTTGATAAGTAACCCAGCAGACGTCAGTTTTCCCCAACCCCGTGCTGGCCTGGCTTCACCTTTCGTCTTGCAAAATGCTTGTAGTGAATCTGACAGTCAGGTTCCATGAGCTATAGCCGTACACTTAACACTTGTAATGGGATCATCAAACAACTTGGCCGTTTGGTGGACATTTGCTCCCAGTGGAGGCAAAGAATGGAACGTAATGTTAGAGGATGTTTTGAAGACAGAAATTCTTTGGCTGCATTTGGAGGGATATCTCTCTGCAGGGATCTTTTTATTTTTTAAATTTCTGGATCTATAATCTATATTGCCTTTTAACTTTGATTCCGAAATGGAAATCATCTTTGAGATGATGCCTGGAGATGGTGAGTAAAATGGTAATGCTAAAACTGGCAATCAAAGGGAAGAAAATAGGGAAAGAAATAACATGTGGAGGAAAAAAAACAAGAGAATAACAAAAGAGAGGGTTAAAGAGGGAGATTATAGATAGGTAGTGGAGAAATAGGAGATAGAAAGAGAGATACATAGAGAGAGGTTGGGAGCATGAGATGAAGATATATATATATATATATATATATATATATATATATATATATATATATATTAGTATTAGTGGTCAGTATATATATGAATTGGATCAGGATTATGATTCCAATGTAATAAATTTTAATTATGGAATATTAGTGTTCAAGCCTTTTATATTAGAAATATATATATATATATATATATATATATATATTAATGCAGTGAGAGAGAACAAAAGAAAAAGAACTGGTGAGAAAAGGGAAAATAATGATGTGTAGGGTAAAAAATATGGTAGAATAACAAGAGATAGATAGAGAGGGAGTGATATATGTATATATATATAAGTAAAGGCAGAGATAAAGGGATAGAGGGGTGAGACATAGAAAGAGTTGAGAGAGTTATATATATATATATATATATATATATATATATATATATATATATATATATATATTGGATTGATGTGAGTTCACGACCCTGGGCTTCATGCTATTTGCAATCGAAACCCAGGGTCATGAACTCATAAATCAAATAAATATGTTTGCTCTATCACTGATATTAAACACTTTCCAATAAGTACTGTGCATATATAATATATAAATAATATATAAAAAAATTGCATATATATATATATATATATATATATATATATATATATATATATATATATATATATAGACATTCACACACATATATATATATATATATATATATAAACAAAGAATCACCTTTCTGGTGTACACTGTCCACTACAATAAGTTTCATGCCTTTAAGAAATTGTCAAACAGTTGTCAGCTGTAATGCAAAAATGGAAGCCTTTATTCCCCAGGAAAGTCTAAGATGGAAAAAAAATATGGATGATGTTAACGCATGATGCACAAGCCAAGCAGTCTCACATGGAGGGGGGAAATAACCCATCCGACAAAGATCAAATTTAAACTGTAAACATAGAATTATACCCCTCCCACTAAAAAATAAAAAAATATCTCGCCATATAGATATACATAGTTACATATATATATATATATATATATATATATATATATATATATATATATAAGTTAAATAATGAAAATCTTGGTAATCTTTATGGATAATCCCAAGGAGGATGAAATCCGGATAGCTCAATGTTACATCAGTGCGAGTAATTTAATTTAAAGAAAACCCGACAAATTTAAGGTTTCTTGGTTATAATATATATATATATATATATATATATATATATATATATATAATTTAAAGAAAACCAGACAACTTTAAGGTCCCATGTTATAATTTATTCCCCGAGGGAGTTTATTTTTCCCTGGATCATTAGATCTCACTTTCAAGGAAAGAAAATTTTTTTTCATCCTTGGAAGTGAGGTCTATGTTCCAGGAAAAAAAAGAAACTCCTGGGGGAATAAATTATAACCATGGAACCTTAAAATTGTCTGGTTTTCTTTTAAATTAAATTATATATATATATATATATATATATATATATATATATATATATTGCTTAAAAAAGAGTCTGCCGTATATGCACACCAGAAAGGAAAGTCCTCACCAACATACAATACGGTAGAGCTTTTCTAAACAAAGAATCATCTTTCACATGTACATGGTCTAACCACTACTATAAGTTTCATGCAGTTAAGCAATCGTCAGGTGATCAGCAGCTGTAATGCAAAAATGGGAGCCTTTATACCCCGAAGGAAAGACTAAAAAAAAATATGGATGTTGTTTGTGCACCATGCATACTTCAATCAATCTCACCTGGAAGCAAGGAAAGCACCCCTCTGGCCAAATTCAAAATAAAGCTGTAAACGCAGAATTAAACACCTCCCCACTAAAAAAAAATAATGTTGGTGCGTCAAAAAAGTGCTCATTGCCACAGATACACCCATTGTAGAGCTTTCAAATATAAATAGAAATAAGCAGCTCTTCAAAAGTGTCTGTGATGTACACACACCAGAAAGAAAAGTACACAACACCATACAATATGGCAGAGCAATCATTAGGTGGTCAGCAGCTGTTATACAAAAATGGGAGCTTTTTCTCCCAAGAAAGACTAAGATGAAAAAAAAACCATATGGGCGGCGTTTGTGCACCATGAATACACCATCAAATCTCTGTATTGTCCTCTCTTCTTAATAGTAGTTTTTCTTTTTCTTATATTCTTTCACACTCATTAACTCCTTTTATCTTAGTGGCTTTATTGCCTTACTTGAGGATGAAATGATTGAAAAAAAAAAAATGAAACAGTTAACGACTTGTAAAAAAAATGGAACAATTATTCCACCCTCATATCCATAAGGAAAATGAAAACTAAAAACTCACTTATATATAGGCATCAAAGAAAGACATTTGAAATTTTTGGTGGACAGAACAAGGAAAGAGGGCACTCACAAGAAATACAGAAGGCAAGATGGAAGAGAAAAGCAGCACAAGTAATATATCTTATGAGCTTGGATAATTGGATCACAGAACATTGACTGGGAGGGAAGGTAAGGGGAAAAATATTGTTTTGAATTATAGGAAGTTGTGGAGAGCTATGATCGCCTATATAAAAGAAGAAGCTGCCTTGATGAATTTTAGAAATCAAGAAATTGGTCAAAGCTGGAGATTTTTCTGGAGGTACATTTTATTTTTTAGTAAAGCGGTTTCTTTTTCTCATAGATTACATCTGACGAAGGCTGAAGAATTGTTAAAAAAAGTGTTAGAAATAGAAAGTATAGAATGAAGAACTAGCCTGAATATTGTTGTAAAATTTAGGAAACAAAGAGATCTTAGAGCCCAAACTATACCTTAGACAAAGAACCAACCTGACTGTTTTTAAAAATATATCGAAAATTTTAAACAGAGAGATCTGTCTGAACAATATCAGTAATATTAGATAAAAAATGATTTGATGATACGAACAATGTTGGAAATTTTAGACAAAGAAAAGACCAGAATAACACTGGAATTTTATTTAGTATAGTTCTGTATATGAAAACAGTTAATGAAATACTGACAGGGCAACTGTTTAAGGCTGCATACAAACACTAGTTCTGGTATTTTATCAATAATTGTGAATGCAAAATAAAAAAAAAAAACAAAAAAACATACATTTAAATAATGCAAAAGAATAAAGACAACTCTCCATTTGTTCATCTATTAAATATATTTCCCACACACTTAAATCCAATTTATATCACTAATTAAAAACGTTGTTTCCGAAATAATCAAATAAAGCCATGACTATGGGTCAAGGGCCAGAGTAGAAAAAAAACAATTTGCAGTTTCAGCAGTAAATAAATTTCACATTGTTGATTAAATAAATAACCGAAGTACATAAAGTCAGTATTAAGCTGAAGATATGGAATTTTACAACATTCAATATACAGTTGACATTGTGTTGATTGCAGTCACAGACAAGAAACTACAGGAATTCTTACGGAAGATAATAAAAGAAAGCAAGAAGAAAACTTTAAACAAACAAGAAGAAGAAGCAAGAAGAATACATTAAATCAACTGTAAGAGAGAATATAAGGTTGTCAGTAACAGGGACGACCCAGGATGTAAATTACAGTTTGGAGATGCCAAAATTAAAAAAAAGTACAACATTTTAAATATATAGGAAGTGTTTTCTCAGAGGATGGAAAATGTGATAGGGAGATCTGAAGGTACATCAGTATAACAAAGATGCTATGTATAAGTTAAACAAAATATTAAAAATTTCATTAGTAACAAAGAAAAAAGTACTGAACTGTTACATAATATCAGTCCTCCTATATGACTGAATGCTGGACAATCTTCTCACAGATGAAGAAGAGACTTGAAGCAAGAGAAACAAAGAAAAGAATACTGAAATGTTATGTAATATCAGTCCTCCTATATGGCAGGGAATGATGGACAATCTCCTCACAGATGAACAAGACACTTGAGAAACAAGCAAAGAGAAACAAATATCAGTCCTCCCATAAAATGATGGAGAACTGTTATGTAATAATAGTCCTCCTATATGGCAAAAAGAAATGAACTGGACAATCTTCTCACAGATGAAGAAAAGACTTGAAACAAAAGAAACAAGGAAAAGAGTACTGAACTGTTATATAATATCAGTCTTCCTATATGCCCATGAATGCTGGACAATCTCATCATAGATGAAGAAAAACTTGAGGCAAAACAAATATGGCTCTACAGAAGGATGCTGAGAATTCCATAAACTGAACATGTGAGCAATGACAAAGTTTTAGAGAAGATGAAAGGAAAAAGGAAACTTATGCATAGCATTGGAAGGAGATAGTTGAAATTTCCTGTGGCACATGAGAAGAAACAGGGCATAGAAAATTTGGAAATGTAAGGTTGGCAAAACAAGGATCAGGAGAGATGGCAATAAGATAAATTTTACTAAGAGCTACAAGGGACAGAAAATTGTGGAAAATCACTCCTGATCCCTGTTCTGTCAACTATTTACGCAAGCTTGTTAGGTAGGTTATTCGCTGCTTTGATCTATTTAAATACAATGTCAATCATTATCTACTGCCCTCCTAATTACTCTTTCCTCTTCCTGTTCATTGTTAATGTTTCTGTTCCTCATTCTTCCACACCCAGTAACCCCTTGTGACTTAGTGTCTTTACTGTCTTGCTTGGGGCGATACTGATTAAAAAACCCAAAAAATACCGTAGTTGAAGCCATACAAATGTGTTCAAAATTAATTCATTAAATAACCCATAGAGGTGTTGATATGACGCTAAACAAAATCAGCCAAAGAACTAAAATGAAAGAAATCTTTCATAACATTAACCCATATAATATCGAACAATTTCTTAAAGAAATTAAACTGTATTAATCTATAAATCAACCATTCGCCCTTGCATGGAATACTGCTGCCATATATGGTCTGGAGCCCTGCTATTCATCTCAAGGTCCTCGTTAAAATCCAGAGATGGATATGCAGTGTGATAGGTCCTGATCTGGAATCCCATCTACAGTCACTTTCTCACAGACATGCTGTGGCTTCCCTCTGTCTTTTCTACAAATATTTCCATGGCAACTGCTCTGACGATCTACTTTCACTGGTTCCCAAACTGCATGAATTTAAGCAGGCTACTAGGCTGGCATCTCAACCCCACCCTTTCACTATCGAAATGGTTAAATGTAAGCCATTTCTTCTACTCCAATAGTTTCATGTCTTGCACTTCCCATCTGGGGAACTCCCCTCCTCTTACTTGCTTCCCTGAAGGCTATAATCTTCAATTATTCAAATGCAATATCAGTCGGCTTCTTCTAATGCTTTGATGTAATTCCCTGTCTTTCTCTTCATCCTTTCCACTTTTCCATCTTTTCCACACCTCTTTACTCTTGCTCCCACTCTCTCTAATCCTTGGCATGCTAGTGGCAGTCCTGCCTTGCTTGGGGTGAAATGCTTAAAAAGAAAAATTCCAAAATATAACTTCAAGAAAACTACAACATAAAACCCACATATCACTATCTCTATTAATTATGTCCACACAAAAGCTGAGTATCATCTACCATGTATTCAATTGTGAAAGCAGAATAACATATCATTTTTTATTACATCCACCTCCCAAGAAAATTAAATTTCAGCATTAAATGAGCCATAAGGAGTTGATATACCATTAAACAAACAAATCAAAGCAAATCTCAGTCATTTGCATATTATTATTATTACTTAATGTCGGTTAAGTTTTCAAACACCAACAGGACATTTAATTCTAATGTACACACTATACTCTTCTGTAAAAATAAATCTAATTGTGCAGGCCTGGGGGCTTCTAATTTCCCAGGCTGCAAGAAGGAAGTGACACATTTTCTACATGACAAGCCTTCTGGAGTTGCCATAGGAGACACTTTTGCATCAGTGCAGCCAACTAAAGGCACTCAATACAGATATGATATATCACCTTCAATCTTTGTCTTCAAAGACAAGCAATAATAATCTGATATATGATGAAGATACAGAAGATATTAATGTGAAATGAAATTAAACAACTTCAAATAGATTTCAAATATCATTTCTATCTATCATCTCATGCCTGTACAGATAAACTATAATTATATGTATATCTATATATATATATATATATATATGGTTTCTCAGATAGGCTTAAATTCAGTTAATTTCTTGTAACATTGGATAGATGGGTCATCTTTCCTTGAATTTGGAATGACACAAATTATACTAACATTGTTTTAAAAAAGTTGAATACACATGATACATGACTGACCCGTGAAAATCAAACAATACAAAAGTAAAAATACCAGAATTTCTCTATATATCATTGTCCGATGAACCTATAATAAAAGTGAAACATGTTAGATTGATAAAGTTTTCCTACTTGGTCTTTATCTTATAACCTATCTATTCCAGTTTGTTTTTTATCTTAACCAGACTGTTCATATCTCTATTTCTTTATCTATCTATAATATATATATATATATATATATATATATATATATATATATATATATATATATACACACACACATATGTATGCATTCCAGTCAGGTCATATCTATTGATGTCTATATATCCCAGTTTATTTTTATATCTGTCTATCCAACTATCTCCATTAATTTTGATCTATGTCACTATGTCTCACTCTGTCTGTCTCTCTCTCTGTCTCTCTCTGTTCTCTCTCTCTCTTCTTTATATATATATATATATATATATATATATATATATATATATGTGTGTGTGTGTGTGTTGTTTGTGTATACACATATGTATATATTCCAGTCAGTTCATATTTATCTGTCTGAATATACGAGTTTATTTTTATCTATCTATCTATCTATCTATCTATCTATCTATCTATTCAAGCCTGTTCTTATCTATCTATCTATCTATCTATCTATTCAAGCCTGTTCTTATCTATCTATCTATCTATCTATCTATCTATCTATCTATCTATCTATCTATCTATTCAAGCCTGTTTTTATCTATCTATCTATCTATCTATCTATCTCCATTTGTTTAGATTTATATCAATCTATTCAGATCTTTCTAACTAGCTATATCTATCTGTCTGCATGCAGATATCTGCAAATATGTATATATATATATATATATATATATATATATATATATATATATGATACATAGATATACATATATATGTTTATCTGTGTTTATGTGAGTCATAGGTTATATGTGTCAATATATATGTCTTGCCCTCCCCTAACTAGCAAGACATTAGTTATTGAGAGAAGACAGCCTTGATATAAAGGCATCAGCTTTACCCTCTGTAACCTCATCTGTAAAGATCAGATCTCAAATAATTCAGTAGATGTTCTCCTCATCCAACAGCAATGTGTTGAAAGAATCATTTAAATTTCAATCGTAGTCAACTAAAAAAAAAAAAAAAATGACAAATTTTTTTGCTTAGTATTATTAATATTATTTTTAAATGCACCGATCATCGTGTCAGATTAGCCAGTGGATAACAAGTTTGGTTTTTCACTGGAAATAAATTTTTGACTTTATTTTTTGGGGAAAAAAAGAAAATTTATTTCAAATGATAAATTTTCAATCTTTCTTGATTCATCTTGTGTTCACTTTTTAACCCCAATTTTACAGTCGATATTTGTTTTTTTTCCTTCATATTTACTTCTTATATTTTATCTAGTCTGGCACAAGGCTATTATCAAATTTAGTTCTTAAATACTACCTATATGCAATCCAGGTCAAATTGTTTTGTGTAGCCATCAATGCAAGTCCATGTCATTTATTCTGATAAATATATCCAGTAAATACATGCTGTCTGAGCAGTTGGTGTTTTCTTCGTGCTAAAAATTCTTGCCTCACCCAAAATCTGACCAAAAGACTTTATTTATTCTGGAATCCATTCTTGAGGTATGTAACTTGGCCTTGGGTAATAATTGTTGAGTCTAGCCTGGTTGAACATTACTATGGACTAGTGAGTGTGTTCCTCACTAGGTGATACATACTTGCTTTCCATCCTTAAGTCTCTTTCTCACATGTAGCTTTGCTAACCTATTGCAAATTCTATAAGAAATGTTTAGAAAAAGCTTTATTGTTTAAAGCGACCAGCTGAGACTTTTGCAGGCATGAACCACCTTGCTATGTCCACAGGGATGGATCACTATCTATTCCCTATCTATTCAGTTTTTCCTTTTTTTCTTTCTTTCTTTAATTAGTCTTTCTTTCTTTCTATATATCTTTCTTTTCTTTTTCCTTTTACGTTGTACATAAAGTTTTTTCTTTCTTTCATTCTTTAAGTTTCCTTTCAATATTCTTTATTTCTTTCTCTCTTTTTTCAATTTCTTTTATTGTTAAGTTTTCTTCCTTTCTTTGCTTTTCTCTTTCTTCATTGAATTTACTTTCTTTAACTTTTTCTTTCTTTGTTTTTTCTTTCTTTCTTTAAGTTTTCTGTTTTTTTAATATGCTTTATTTCAATCTTTCTTTTTTTAATTTCTTTCTTTCTTTCTTTCTTTTGTTCTTTCTTTCCTTCTTTCCTTAAGTTTTCTTTCTTTCATTAAGTTATTTTTTCTTCCTTTCTTTAACTTTTATTTCTTTGATTTTCTTTCTTTCTTTCAATATGCTTTCTTTCTTTCTTCTATTAAGTTTTCTTTAAGTTTTCTTTCCTTAAGTTTTCTTTTTTCTTTAAATTTTTTTACTTTATTTTTCCTTTCTTTCTTCAAGTTTTCTTTCTTTGATTTTTTAAATTTCTTTTTTTCATTCTTTAAGTTTCTTTCTTTCTTTCATTCTTTCAATTCCTTTCTTTCTTTCTTTCTTTCATTCTTTAAATTTCTTTCTTTCATTCTTTAAATTTCTTTCTTTCTTTCTTTCTTTCTTTCTTTCATTCTTTAAATTTTTTTCTTTCTTTCTTTCTTTCTTTCATTCTTTAAATTTCTTTCTTTCATTCTTTAAATTTCTTTCTTTCTTTCTTTCATTCTTTAAATTTCTTTCTTTCATTCTTTAAATTTCTTTCTTTCTTTCTATTTCTTTCTTTCTTTCTTTCTTTCTTTCATTCTTCAAATTTCTTTCTTTCTTTCTTTCATTCTTTAAATTTCTTTCCTTCTTTCTTTCTATTTTTCTTTCATTCTTTAAATTTCTTTCTTTCATTCTTTAAATTTCTTTCTTTCTTTCATTCTTTAAATTTCTTTCTTTCATTCTTTAAATTTCTTTCTTTCTTTCTTTCATTCTTTAAATTTCTTTCTTTCTTTCTTTCCCTCTTTCATTCTTTAAATTTCTTTCTTTCTTTCATTCTTTAAATTTCTTTCTTTCATTCTTTAAATTTCTTTCTTTCTTTTCTTTCTTTTCTTTCTTTCTTTCTTTCTTTAAATTTCTTTCTTTCTTTCTTTCTTTCATTCTTTAAATTTCTTTCTTTCTTTCTTTCTTTTTTTCTTTCATTCTTTAAATTTCTTTCTTTCATTCTTTAAATTTCTTTCTTTCTTTCTTTCTTTCTTTCTTTCATTCTTTAAATTTCTTTCTTTCTTTCATTCTTTAAATTTCTTTCTTTCATTCTTTAAATTTCTTTCTTTCATTCTTTAAATTTCTTTATTTCTTTCTTTCATTCTTTCTTTCATTCTTTAAATTTCTTTCTTTCTTTCTTTCTTTCATTCTTTAAATTTCTTTCTTTCATTCTTTAAATTTCTTTCTTTCTTTCTTTCTTTCTTTCATTCTTTAAATTTCTTTCTTTCTATTTCTTTCTTTCTTTCTATTTCTTTCTTTCTTTCTTTCTTTAAATTTCTTTCTTTCTTTCTATTTCTTTCTTTCTTTGTTTCTTTCTTTCATTCTTTAAATTTCTTTCTTTCTTTCATTCTTTAAATTTCTTTCTTTTCTTTCTTTTTTTCTTTCATTTTTAAATTTCTTTCTTTCTTTCTTTCTTTCATTCTTTAAATTTCTTTTCTTTCATTCTTTAAATTTCTTTCTTTCTTTCTTTTCTATTTCTTTCTTTCTTTCTTTCTTTCATTCTTTAAATTTCTTTCTTTCTTTCTTTCTTTCATTCTTTAAATTTCTTTCTTTCATTCTTTAAATTTCTTTCTTTCTTTCTTTCTTTCCTTCCTTCTTTAAATTTCTTTCTTTCATTCTTTAAATTTCTTTCTTTCTTTCTTTCTTTCTTTCATTCTTTAAATTTCTTTCTTTAAATTTCTTTCTTTCTTTCTTTCTTTTTTTCTTTCAATGAATTCATTTATCCTCTCTTCTTTATCTATGTTTTTTTATCTTCAAGTTTCCTTCCAGTATCTTTTCCTTACACTTTCTTCCTTTATCAGTTTTCCTCACTTTCATTCCCTGTTTTTGCTTCCTCACACGCTTTTGAAAGCCTGTCACTTAACCATTCCATCTACACCTACCTCTGACCACACCCAAGAGGCTTTGTTTTTGTGTCTGTCATTTTTTTAGCCTTTGGCCTCTATCCAGAAAGTCACTTTTCAACTATAAGGAAAAAAAAAAAAACCCAAAAAAAACCCCTCTATTCTCTGCAAAGTGCTTCACTTGACACAACATACTTAAAAATACATCACACTGACACACACACACACACACACACACTGACACACACACATGTAAAATAAATTCATAAATAAATATAATTGAATAGAATAAAGGTCTTCTTTTTAATCAAAGTGTTTCTTTCTGTCTACCATATTATTTTGTTTATACAATACCCTATTATCATTATTATTCAGATGTTGTTTTTTGAGGATACCGTTGTTTGAAATAGATACCCCGTTTTCAGTTTGGTTTGGTTTGTTTTATGACACATCAACCTCAATGGGTTATTTAATGCTGACAAGGATTTTATTTCTGGTAATATTTTTCCAAAAATTTATTGCTGGAGTTAAAAATTATTTTTACACTTTCATAGTGTTTTGACCCCAGTTTTGGGGCTTAATATTTGCCTATAGTTGGGACCCTAACAGGTGCTACCACCCTGAGTCAGGATGGACCTGGGAAAACCAATAGTTAAGAAATGGTTCCACACTCTTCAAAACCTCCTGATCAGAGGCCATGCTGTTGGATGTAGTTTATCGTCTTATCCAGGATACCTTATTTCTGTGGGGGTTTTACCCCTCTGCAGAGATGCAGTTGGTGTATTCTGAAACCCCAGCTGACAGGGCGGTGTCCTGTTTTTATTTATTTTTTAGACAGTGTGTATTAGGCCTATTAGCCTGTGCACTCAAGAAGTCTTAATAAAAAAAAAAAAATGTGCACTCTGGGTGTGGGGCACAGGTTTGGACACTGCCAGAGAGCATGCTTTCATTATCAAGTGATTTTCAAGTTTACAGGCTGATGAAAATAATACACACTCTTCAGAAAATTAAAAAAAAAAAGAGGGCATCTATTTCAAACAATGTTGGAAGTAATAATAGTCAAATTATTTCTTTAAAAAAAACAATGCACTATTTAAAAAAAAAATGGCTGTTCAAAAATTTGTTTTTCTCTATATTGAAAGAATCTTGTGTATTGTATAGGGAAGTCTGAGTAAAGATGAAATCCCCATACATCACCTAGCGGTGTTTTTTTTTCTATCAGTTTTTGATTAAAACAAATGATTTTTACAAATAATGATTGTGTAGAAGTGTGTCATAGTAACAGCTATTTTATACTTTAAATTCATTTTGAACTAACAGACCGCGCGACATCTATCAGAGAGAAGAAATTTAAATTTTTATTATTCCGTTATTCCAAGATTTTAACCGATCAGCAGATAGCTATTAATGTCAACAACTGAGCACAAATAGCTATTAATTAAAAAAAAATAGTAATTAATGTATAATATTATCCATAACTACATATACAACAATGTTGTTTTTGTTAAAAGTTAAAAAATAACAATAAATATGTAAATTCATGATGCGGTTCTATGACGTCGTACCTCTTGAGAGACTGAAATATTAACAGAACCATATGTCTTGATGCAATGTAATGTGTTGTGATTAGTTGGAAATGTAATTTTGTTGAGTGTGGGTTGCTGTGTTTTAATGTACATGGTCTCCAGTTATCATCGCATAGCAATCTTCTATGTCAACATAACAGAATATCATCTTTGATGGTGAATAACTTTGTTTAAATGTCCATGTAACCACTCTGAAGATGGCTCATGTGAGCTGAAAGCTAAGATCAAGAAATGGCTTAATAAAGAATATCCGAATGTTGGACAATTTTTGTCTTTATTTACACCCAAATTTATAGCAAATATTTGAAGTTGAGAACGGCGCATGATCACACATAATAGACATTCATTGTTATATTTAATAATATATGTTTAAATGATCTGCTGCCCCAGTACATGAAATACACACACACACACACACACACACACACACATATATATATATATATATATATATATATATATATATATATATATCTTATATGAAATGGATTAAATCTGACAAATATTTTAATATATTTTCTGTTTATATGTTTGTTTTATGGAGACACTTATTTGAGTAAATGCTCTGATTTTTAATTAAACATTATTAATTACATTTACCGACCTATATATATATATATATATATATATTATTTATTATAATTTATATAGACAAAAACAGTTTACTCACTACAAAGATGAAACTTTGTTTTGGTGCATTTCAATTGCACCCCGACGAGTGAGAACCCATAAAGGTAACCATTTTTGGTTCTTACCTGTCAAGGCGCAATTGAAATGCACTGAAACGAAATTGCATCTTTGTAGTCAGTAAACTGTTTTTGTCTATATGAAAAAATTACAATAAATAATTATCACTCTACTATCGGTATCAAGCCCTCTTTTGGATTAATACTGTGAACATTAGAATTTATATATTACTTTCATTCTTATTGCATTGGGTATATATATATATATTTTAAGCAAATCACCCCAAGCAAGGCAAGAGTGACACTAGCACACAAGGGGTTACAGAGAGTGAGAGTAATCAAAGAGGAGTGTTTGGGAAAAGGATAAACAGAAGGACAGGGATCAAGCTACATATATATATATATATATATATATATATATATATATGAAGAAATATAGTTTGAAGGTGTGCTATATTTATGGGATAAAGTGATCAATATCAGAGATAGAGCGTATATAAATGTAAATATAAAAGTGAACATTGAAGTCAACACTCAGAGGTGACAGGCTGTTTCATGTGAGGTGGCCTGATGATTGCGCCTAGCATGAAACAGCCTGTCACCTCTGAGTTTTGACTTCAATGTTCACTTTATATATATATATATATATATATATATATATAAGTTGATGTAATAGCAATTGATTATTTTAGAATCATTTACAAAAATCACTTTTAATTTTACAATCAGTTTATAATTTCAAAATTTGCAATTAATAAAAATTAATAAAATTATTTATCTTCCTGTGTGCAAATTAATGAACATCATTTAAACTTATGATATAGACAGATGTAAAAAATATTACCATGTAAATATGTGAAAAATTTTGTTTTGATCTTAACTTTCTTTTTCTTCTTCTCGCAGTCTTTGAATTAGTTACATTGAGTATACAGTTGGAAAAATTATTTTACATTGATTTGATTTGAAAAAGGAAAAAAAAAAATTCTTGTAATTGCAAATAATGTATTCTCTTTTTTGTTTTGACCTGAATATTTTAGTAGATGTTTATCGATTTGTCCACCAGAAGAATTTTTTTTTATTCTTAAACTAACAGATTTAATTAATTTATTATCTGCATGTGGAAAGAAAAAAAAATGGAAAGATGTTTTTTTTTTAAATAACGTTTTTCCTTTTCGTAGTTTGCCTCCTGCTTTTTTATTCTAAATTTAAAGAAAAAAAATGACTGTTACAAATAACGCAAAATCTTCAGAAAAATACGTACATATTTCATGTGCTGTGATGAAGTTAAAAAAAAATTTAGGTGCAAATATAAAAAGCAGAGGATTACTGAAAGGTTAAATTTCAGCACATATATATATCTCTGATCAGATTTTTATTTTGCTATCACCAAAT